CCCTTCGATCGCAATAGGATGCGGGAAAAAGACAAGGGGAAAAGAAAAAGGGAATAACGCGTCTGAAGAGCAACTGGCCATTGCTTTCGACTTTTTCCCTTTTTCCACCTTCTGGGTAAAGATACGTATAATACGTTATCCATTTCCATTTCCCAAATTAGTAAATTTGGAGAGCAGTGCAGCGAGCAACAGTTGCGTGACAGACTGCAGTCGCCAGAACCAACCAAACCTCTCCCCCCCCCACCAAAAAAAAAAAGAAAAAAGGGAGGCTGGAATTAGGAGAAGAGACACTGCCTTTTCCTCAGGGCACATATTCACACTGTGACTTTCTTGGATGTATCTGACCGCAATTGAGACCACAGCTCAGTCGAAAAGTCCTCGTCTGAGCATGTTCTCAGAAGCGGCCCTGCTTGCAGCTCACGACCGTGACGACGGTATTGTCTCTTTTCCTTATACGACAACAAAATGGATAAACGACGACGACCTTCCATCATTCACGATGGGTCTCTTATGACACGGACAACCATGATCAAGATTCACAAAAAAAAAAACACAAAGAAAGGATGACGACCACGAAGACAATACTTATGACGAACTGGATGATGATGATTGTCTTCGTGGTCGTCGTCCTTTCTTTCGATGGCGATGGCGATGGCGATGAAGAAGAAGAAGAAGAAGAATGACAAGCAATGGCCAATTGCTTCTGCACACGCTCTCCGAGAAAAATAGCACTAGACTTCAAGTGTGTTACATGCTCAAACGCGCACGTGCCCTCTAGTAGGTGATTCAACCGGTTGCGCTCCGATCTCATCAGGAGGCGATCCACTATATCACGCCTTTCGGCCCCAGCCTGCACTATGTCACCCATGAGCAAGAGCGAGCGAGAGTCGACTGCCACACAGCCAGCGGACTTATGACCTGTGTTATAAACCGGGCCGCCCGGGTCACCTTGTTTGACCGGGCCGCCCGACTGGGCAAGGACCAGGAAAGGTCCCTGTAAAAAAACATAATACAAAAAAAAAGAAATTTAAAAAATGCGAAAAAAAAAAATGTCGTGCCGAAAAGTAAACTGAACAACTTTTTGACGCAGGGTCAGACCGATATTCTTTGCGAAAAAAAAAAATAAAAAAATTAAACAAATATCGTATTTTATTTTTTTTATTCGTTTTTTGCCCGGCCGGGCAAGTGAGGTCCCGTGCCCGTGCCGCTCTGGTAACATAACTTTTATGACCCTAACACGAGAAAAAAATTGCATTGCACTCAGACGACCACCATCAGGATACACACATGTCGAGCAAACGGACAATAATGTGAAAACTTCGACGGAGAAAAAAATGCATTACTCTCCGAGAAAAAAATGCATACACAGCGCGAGTACCTTCAAAACAAATTCTCCTTCATAATTAACTACTGTAATAGTAATAAAAAATCGAGTACCTTTTAGTTTTGTGGGTTTCATTTAGTGTTGACGTAGTCAGAAAAGTTATTTTTGGCGAATCTTGCAAGCCTAGTTTGGAAGCAAGAAGCAGATTCGCTGTGCGAGAATCCAAGAGGCTTTCTGCTGTCAGAGTTCTTTAAAAACAACACGAGTTGTTTAACAAAAACAACATGACTTACGAAGAGGTTTCGTTTCGTTTCGTTTGCACTCAGAGTACGCAATGATTGGAGAACCGTGTGTAAAATGATGTGATTACACCAATTTGCAATTTGCTGCGCACCAAATTGCAAACAAAGCGAGCAAGTTTCGCCATACATAAGTTTTCAGAATCTCACCATAGCCATAGACATAGCCAAATGGCCATAGCATTTGGCTATGGTCATAGCCAAATGGCCATAGCCCTCCCTGGCTATGGTGAACAGTTTGGCTGTGTGTATCTCTGCGTACCATTGTTGCACTCGAGTGCGCAAATGATTTGTTTGGACAATCGTGTGCGTATCATTTGATGTGATTGCACGCTGCGCACCAAATTGCAAACAAAGCGTGCAAGCAGGACTATGGAAACAAAGGTACGCAGAGATACACACAGTCAAACCGGTCCACCATAGCCAGGGCTATGGCTATGGCTATGAAGTACTAAGGGCGTAATACTCGTACGCGAATCACATTTCCTTTTCTTTTTTTCTTTTTTTCTTTTTTTCTTTTTTTCTTTTTTTTGTCTGGAGAGAACCGCTTTTTGGGATGCATCTCACGGCAAACTCCCTCCCACGTTTCTTGGACTGAATCTGGCTCCAACAAGCGCATGTATGAGTTTGCCCTCAAAAGAACAATCCCAGTCAAAAAAAAAGCAGAAACGAACGAAATTGAGCGTGTTTCCTTCCTTTTTTTTTTTTCGTTTCTTTTTTTCGGTCTCCTTTTCTTTTTCCTTTTCCTTTTCCTCTTCCTTTTTTCTCCCCTTTTCCCCTTTTTTCTCCCCTTTTCCCCTTTTCTCTCCCCTTTCCCCCTTTTTTCCCCCTCTTTTCCCCTTTTTTTCCCCCTTTTCCCTTTTTTTCCCCCTTTTCCTTCTGATTTTGCTGATTTGCTTCGGCGCGGCAATGACGACGATCCCAACAATCGATCCACCGGGGCGAGGTTGCACTT